TGGAAACAGAGGTGGGGTGGTATGGGGATGGAGAAACCACCTAGTTATTTCATTGTCAAAGACCTCGTTTTTATTTTGGGCAGGAGATTCACAGGAGACTCTTGCGTTGTTAAAAATAATGAATAACCAAATAAAAGCAGAGATACCTGGACCAATGATCCAATGTTGGGGCTGTGTTGTGAATCAAGGATTATAATTAATCTGACTCTATGCAATGAGGTCTTTAACGTTTATTTTTTTGGGGGGGGGGACAGAGAGAGACAGAGCATGAATGGGGGAGGGGCAGAGAGAGAGGGAGACAGAATCGGAAACAGGCTCCAGGCTCTGAGCCATCAGCCCAGAGCCCGACGCGGGGCTCGAACTCACGGACCGCGAGATCGTGACCTGGCTGAAGTCGGACGCTTAACCGACTGCGCCACCCAGGCGACCCTCAATGAGGTCTTTAAATTGTACAATATCACATGGCATATGTCTGTATGTCAATAATAGACAAAAATAGTGCTTTCTATCTGCATAGAGCTTTAACTTTTGAAGTGCTTCTACACATCCATAAAAACTGCTTAAGAAGTTCATTACACATGGCTGAGGGCTTGGTATTATAAAAATAGGACTTTGGACTTGTGCGTCCTAAGGGAAAATCGTTTATTTTATTCTTACAGTAGTTTTGTGAGGCAGGCAGGACAAATGTTTTATCACTATTTCACAGATGAGAAAGAAGGAACTGAGAGGGCAAGGGACTTCAGTGAGGTTGTATGGCTAGTTGGTCAGCAAAGGAACTTTAGACGATCTCTTGCCTAGTGCTTCTTCCTTTAGGCAAGCTCACTCCCGGTTATTACGCATCTGTTAGGCATTTATTCTGTGTTACATGCCAGGCACACCATGCCGATATGTTTGTGTTTACGTAGGTGCGTGTTTTCCGGGTACTGTGTGCAGTTTATGCGATCTCTGTGCACACGCACACATACACGTCCTTGTTGTCCTTGTGTGCCCCGAGGCCTAAGTGGCCCATGTAACTCCAGGAGGAATCCCCAGCTGGGGTTTCAGTTGTCTTGTTATTCCTAGGTCACTGGGCTTCAGCATCTCCCCAGAGCCCCAGCTAGTTAGGAAGGCAGCTTTGGTATCAGGGACAGATCTCCAGGCAGTGGGCACAGAGCACAGCAATGCTTTAATAAAAGAAGAAGAAGAAGGAGGAGAAGGAGAAGGAGAAGGAGAAGGAGAAGGAGAAGGAGAAGGAGAAGGAG